ACATGCTGAATTGCCCACGGTGAAGGATGAGCTTTCAGTGACTCTACATCTGAAATTTAAAAGTTTTAATTCTGATTTGGTCAAAATTTTTCATAAAGGTTGGTTTTTGCAAGAATGAGTTCTGGACGTCCCAAGAATGCATTATTTAGTTGTCCAGCACTAGTAAAAAATCGAATTTGACTTAGGTTAAACATTTGTTAAGATGTACAGTTTTCTGTCATCTCAACAAACGTTGTAACTATTGTTTAATTTATTTTTTTACCAGTGTAAACTGATTCTTTTCAAACTGAATAAAATACACACATCTTTAGGAACTGATGATTCCACTTGTACTCCTGGACTCTGGTTGACACCAAACAATAAACTGCATCCTCGTTTCACAAGTAACTGGGGTTGGAGTGTTGGGATTGATGAGATTGTTGCTACTGAGCTTTCATTGAATAAATGGTACCATATAAGTTACACCCTTTCTGATTCTGAAAAGAGATTAGACTTCTACATAGATGGTTTATGGGTCGGATTCTATAGCCTCCAAAATGTTCAAACACAAAAGGTTCTATTCAATACTGAACAACTGCTAATTGGATATAATCTTACTGCTGAAATTAGGTACTAGTATTAATTAAGTCAATCTATATTGTAGAAATCACAAAAATGTTAAATGTCCATTTTTATTAAATAGGAATTTTCGGTATTTTAACTGGCGTCTTACTGCTGAAGAAGTGGGGGAAAACATTTTGGTAGGATACTTTTAGACTTTTGCATTTCTAGAATTTTTATTCATTTGCTCACAATAATCACCCTTATTTTTTAAAAAATTTTAGCAACAAGGAGTCTTCAAATGATTTTATTAGAAAATATGAAAATATTTAAGAATATTGCATGGTATTATATTAATATATAGTTTAATTAAATTACTAGCAATTTGTCTATAGATTATATTTATTAATAAAATAACCAAATACATCATTACTATATGATTAATTGAGGTTTGGGTAGTTAGTGAAGGTAATTTTAGCAATAAAGCATCAGAATATGAAACCCAAAGATAGAACAACTCTTTTAATTGTTAACAATCATATATAATTCTTGTAAATTCAGTTATTAGTTCCATAATCAAGAGATTAAAATGAATAAAAATGATGTTATCTTAACAAATTTATAAGTTTATCAATATGTTATTTTATCTCTACAATAAGATTTATATATTAAGCAATTATAAAAGGATATTTTTATTTTTATTTATAAATATATGTAAATTTATTTACATGCAAACGAAACTATTATTCTGTAATTCTAAATTAAAGATTTTTCTAGAATCCATTAAACCTTCTGCAGGTTCTTTTGTGCTATTATTATTCCATCATCATCAATATCTTTATAATATATTTTTTTAGTTAAATTATATATGTAATCTGTGTAGAGAATAATGACTTCAAGCTTTTGCATTTTCATAACTACATTCTCATCCTTCATTTCAATGCCATTTAGGATCTAAAAACAAACTCACAACCGTCATTATATATACATTAAACTCTTTGAAGGGTAACCATTTGGTCATGCTTTAGATACAATTTCTGAGGCATAACTATCATTATTATCCATTGGTTTAGGCGAATTCTGTCTACACCATAATAGTCAACTTCGTCACATTCTTCAATTGCATCGCATTTATTTTCGGCAAGTGAAGAAAAGGAGACATTTCCTCATCAAACCTTCTTGAATCTTTTGTTTGTTCTTTTATATCTTAGTCTAACATTTTAATTTTTTTGGTTCGAAAAAATTTAAGCTCCTGAATTTGACTATTATACTATTTGTTGATTAGTAATAAATAATAGAAGTATTATACTATTAGTATACTAGTATCATTTAATTCTAAGTTTAATTCTTGTGTGAAGAGATTAATTTGGCTTTCGATTCCCGAAGGAAAATTTCAGACGGGGGGACTGAAATTTTCTACTCGCATTACACTTTTTCTCTAGGTTTATCGATCTTTTGGTTGATATTATAGAGCTAATTTTTACAGGTTTGACAACATAATAAAAAGCCAAAGATTGGTCTAATCGACAATCCATAAAAAATTTCGCTTGTAAAGGCAAGCATTTTTGTTAAGTTTGTTTTCTATGCAATGATAAAGTATTATTATAAACTTGATGATTCAATTAAACAGTTCTGCTCATACCTTCTTCTGCAATGTATTACTTTGTTGTTGATTTTCAAATAAACGTTTTTTCATGACGGTTTGAGGGTTGACAATGAACCCTTCTTGGATTACATCAATTGAGTTTACAACTTGTTCAGTTGCCTTTTTCCATAATTAATTTCTGAAAAAAGTACATCTTCACAAATTACCAATTAGTTCATTCCTTTAAAAAAAAAAAACATAATATATAATATAAAACTAGGAGGTGGGTGTCGAACGTGCAGTTCGTAACCCAGTGCTCCAGCTTGCCGTTGAAAGAATTGGGATGTGCGTCAAACGAGCGGTTCATAACCAGTCGATTAGCAGTGTTCTAGCTTACCGCTATATCCGAACTTAATTCCTTCTTCGGCCTTGCAAATTGAGACTTTGCCCCCCCTCATTCTACCATCTTACCACATACTAACCTGCCAGCTATCAAGTATTAACCCCAATTGATGATCAGTTTTAGAGTTGACAATGCCTTCTAGATCTTTTTATCCTATCTAATACTTTCTTAAGAGTAGACCATGCGTGGTTCAATATATTCTTGTAATGTTCAACTATATTTTCACATGTCCATCAGCTAATGTTGAACTTGCTGAAAATTCATTGTAAAGAAAAAAATCGGTACAACGATTATATACTTATTACTATTATTTATTTATTAAACATTAAATTTTCTCCCGACTCGCGAAATTTTGACATCGGCGCGTTAATAAACTTTATACAAAACGGACAAAATTTTTGCAAGTTGTAAATAAAACGAAAGAATATAACAGGATAAAATTTATTATATATACTTTTCTATATAAAAATGTTAGTCATTTATATAATATATATTAAAAAATAACAATAAATTGATTGTAAATTATTATAAATCTATAAAAATAAGTATTCCCCAATAAATCTACATTATATAATAAATCATTCAGGTTGTGTAGATTAGAAACCTACCAACATGAAGATGGCTTATAATTTGATTGTCACCCGCACTTCAAGCCCTTATTTAATTATATTTTTGTTATAGAAACGATTTTTTAAATACACAATAAAAAGAATAGGTGGCCCAAGAAAAAAAGAGGTAATGAACAAGAGAAATATTGAGATTAAAGTAAAAGGCCAAAAGATAACACTTAATAACAGAATTATAGAAATTATTAAAACCAAAGGATCTTGTTGTTTTTGCTGTCGTCGTTGATTGTTGTTATTATCTACTACCTCCTTTCCGCAAACGTTACCGCCAATTGATCGAGTATTGTTATTTTTAGAAATTTTATTATTATTGTAGTATTTATTTTTATTTTTATTAATTTGATTTGATTTTGGTATTTCTTTGTAAAAATCAACAGATTCTTTGGTAAATTTTCTTGGCGATGATTGATCTGAATAATCTGTGGAATCAACTGGTGTAATGGATCTTGACGATTCCTCCTCCTCTTCATCTTTTCTTTCTTCTTCATTATATTCATCACCATCAATATTTTGATCAATATCGGTAGATTCATTAGATTCAGGGTTATTATGTTGATAATCATCAGCAATTTCAGTTAAAACAGTTTTGGTAGGGTGGTGATGATAAGAAGAAAGAGGAGGATGTAGATGAGCAGTTGTTGCTTCTTCTGTTTGATCGCCATTAATGTTTTGATGTTGATTATCGTCAGTGAAACTATTAGAATCATAGGTAGTAGTATTATCATCATCATTGAATTTTTTATCAACAACTTCAGATGATGGTGACAACTCTTCTATCGTTGATTGAGCATTATTATCATCATTATCAGAAGATCCAATATGAGTAACAATAATTTCTGGTTTATCATCTTGATTATCTTGTTGGTTGTTACCAGTATCGCTATCGTTAGAACTACCATCATCCTCGTTCACAGCTTCAATTGATTCTCTGTCGTTATTATTATTTTTAGTAATAAGGGTAGTAGTGGCGGGAGTAATAGATCCATTATCATCAACTTCTGATTCTATTGCTGACGTGTTATTATTATGATTATTAACATTATCAGTAGATGAGATAATTTCTGAATCATTCTCTTGTGCATTACTATTATTATTATCCTGTTGATCAGTTGATTCAACAGTTATAGATTTGTTATCAATATCATCATCATCTTGAATCTTAACATCCAATTTCGTTGACATCATGTCATTATTATCAGTAATTGGTGAAGTATGAGAGCTTTGATTATTACCTTGCTGGTTATTATTAGTGTTATTAGTATTAGAACTTTTATTATTGTTGTTGCTTTTATCGTCATCGTCACCATCTCCACTGTTCGCTATAATTAACCCAATTGTTGGTTTATAATTGGTACAACCAATAATATCGTCTGTTTGATTATTGGTAGTATTATCTTGTTGGTAATTATTATTATGATCATGAAAAACATCATCACCGTTAACATATACTTGAGTAGCATCATCTTCTTGTTTTTTATTGTCATTACTATCATTAGTATCATCAATATTTTCATCATAAGTAGTAAGAGGAGGAGTAATTGGAGCATTAGTATTTTTGTTTTTTAGGCTACTACTGCTAATACTAGTATCGTTATAACCATAGTTATCTTGATCTTCCTTATAATCGTCATTATTATTATCATCCTTGGTATTACTATCATTGTTGCTGTCTAGTTTCATAGCTAATTCAATTGGTTGATTATTAGCAGGATGATTTTGTTCCTCATTGATTGTTGTTTGATTAGTAGTGACATTATTATCACTAGTAATATAATCAAAACCACTATTGTCATTATTATTACTATTATTATTATTTGTATCATTTGTATTATTTGTATTATTTGTATCATTTGTATCATTTGTATCATTTGTATCATTTGTATTATTTGTATTATTTGTATTATTTGTTGTGGTAAGATTATCATCAGTTAAAGAAGAATGTTGATGATGATTTGAATTCGTCGTTGGTTCTGATATATTTTGATCAGAAAGAATTTTTTCAACATTTTCCTTTTTTAGAAATTCATTTCCTAAACTGTTTTTGTTTAAGCTCTCATTATCATTATTAGTATTGTTATTGCTTCCACCAAGAATTATGTTATCATCACGACTGTTTTTGATAGAAGCATCGATATTACTATCCTTAGAAAGAATGATTTTTTCAACTTCCTTATCTCTATGAAGTACATTTCCTAAACTGCTGTTACTGATGACGTCATTATCATTATCGATATTGTTATTGCTGCTACTGTGAATTCTGTCAGCATTTTTGATATTACCATCGTTAACGTTGTAGAGGTTCTCGTGGTCGTTGTTGATGTTGCTGATATTGTTGCTGATATTGTCGGCTTTGGTAGCAGTATCAAAATGATCGTTACCGGTAGTAGTATTGTCATTAATACAATTATTGATCTTGATATTTTTACCATCGTTTGTCTTGTCGAAAGTATCATTTCTCGTGTTTTTATCAATAATTTTAGTTTTAACAGCTCTGTCATCATTATTAGTGTCAATAACACTTCCATCGTTACTAATATTATCATTATAGTTTTCAACACTATTAACACCATTAATATCATTATCATCATTTTTATGATTATTATTATTATTATTATTATTATTATTATTATTATTATTAAGTTGACGGTTATAACTGTTGTAGACTTCGTCGTCATTCATTGATTCACTAGTACTAGGTTCTTTATTTAGCCCTTCGTCTTTTAAAAAAAATAATTTTTTAAATTTAATTATAGTTAGAATATTTTGTAATAATTATTTTTTACATGTTTTATATAAAAAAAATGACATACTCGAATAAAATGATGATTTATTGTTATTGTCAGTATTATCAAGATGAATCAAAGGGCTGTGGTTACTCATTTCAGGATTTTTTTTGGAGAAACTCATTGCTTATTATATATATAATAAATATATAGATTTAATTAATTTGTTTGTAAAGTGGTTTTTCTACCAATGTAAATAAGAAAACAGACGAAAAAAGCGGACAAGAGATAATTTAAAACAGTATTTGTTAATAATTAAAATGCAAGGATAAAGAAATAGATCAGTAAAAGGTTGATAAATAATAATGAGGAGTAAGAAAAAGCAATCAGTAAAAAAGTTTTAATGATTTAAATAAATAATTCATTTATCATAATAGTTTTTGTTTGATTTAATCTAGAAAAGTATAAATAATTTTTTCACAGTTTAATTAATATCTTTAATATATGTACAGAACATATGATATATCTATATTGATATGATAATATAAAATAATAATTTATTACATTGTTTTCTATCTCCTAAAGAATGATGATGTCACGAATGACATATTGTTTTCCCAAAACTTATCCTTATTGAGGTTTTTTTTTTCTCTAACAAAAATTACTTTTAATTATGGGATGCTATTTTCCACAAGTCAACCTCTGGTTATATCCTTGTTTATTTGTATTCAATATAGAAGAAATAGACATAGTAGAATTCTTTTATTTTATTTTTTTTAAAAAAAAAAACAGGAAATAGAAGGCGCTGCTGTCTTGAAAAGAAAAAGAAACAAAAATAGGTTAATACTTATTTGGGGCGTAGATCATTGACGCAGTAACCTTAATGTATATATAATAATAATAAAGTTGACACACTAAAAATCAAAAATCAGGAGGTAATAATGTCGAGTGCACTCGCTACCTTTTTTTTTACGTGTGATTAACTCGTGCGCTTTCGAGAAAAAGGTATGTGCGTGGTACTTTTCAGCGTTATTATATATCAAGTATATAAGATTAGACCATTTTGACATTCACATTGACATACATGGGAAAATGAAAACAATTAATATAGTAATAAATGGTTAGAATATAAATTAAAAATTTCAAAAAGTCACATTGTACCACCATCGATAATTCTTCAATAATGGTAATAAGGCAAAATATCATTTTCATTTATGTTAGTCACCTTGTAATGGTTCCTTTTTTGCTTTGTTTGGCTCTTCAGAAAAGCTTATTTTAATTGATTTCCTTATTCCTTGTTGATAAATCCATAATTCATTAGGAAGGTAAGAGTGCTATCAGACATATTTTTTTTTCGATCTCTTCTTTAGATTTTTTAAACCAAATCTGCGCACACCTAATTTTTATAATCCTTTTGATAATTAATTGCGAATAGATTTTCTCACAAAATTGCAACACTTTTTTCATATGATCATGATGACATGTAAAGCCTGCTCACAAGCTTCTTGCTCAACTCATGAAATTTCGTAGTAGTGATAGGGTAGTGACCAACATCTTTACCTGAATCCTCAATACCATCAACTAAGTATCGTCCATACATTGAAGTAATTGAGATATTCATATAGTCTAATTACCTCTCTATAACTTGATATTTCTGTAGATTGGAAACAATTGTAACATCAAAGTCCGTTCGCAGTAAAACTGATAAGAAAATATTTAAGATCACTAGTAGCTTTCTTTTGTTCATTGCCTTCTTAAGATCATCTACATTCACCCTGGTAGTTGCTTTGTCAGTTCACTCACTGGTCATGGAAAAAATAGTAAATATCATGAACTGTCATCATGAGAGGGTGAAAGTGCTATTTTTTTAAATATTCCTGCCAAAATCACGCTTCCTTATTTTCATAATGATTTTGATGTTACATTTACTTACCATCCATCTTCTCTCGCAGGGTCCAAGTTGCACATATAATAGTAATTCTCATACATTAATTCCAAAAAGATTGGAATAGCTTATTCATCACCATCAGTCCTTATAGACTATTTGAAACACTTTTGTTCTGTATAAAATGATTACACCTATCGTACTTGTATCATCTGTAAAACAGATTTCTACTAGCAAATACCCTTTGTAATCAAACTATTCCGTAAATATCATAAATATTGTATATATTTGCAATTCTAATTCTTTAGAAATGATGGTTCTAATCGAGGCAGACAAATTATTCAATGTCAAGAAATAAAAGTGAAACTTGGTAACTTGCATTCTTATTTAGCAAATGAACGCAATAAAGATCATTATAATTGTAAATAATATCTCAGGATATATTTCTTGAAATTCCTGATGATTATGACATCAAAAAATCTAAAAGTTAGTAGTAGCAGACAATCTAAAGTTGATCAAATGAGCCTTCACGTCAACAACAAAAACAAATTGATTGTTACATTTATTTGTTGTAGGCTTTCGTTTAATATCATAGAGAATCCTTTTTTTTTTGCTAGGAGTTAAATTCTCCTTCTCGTGAAATGTTGTCAGATAGGTTTAGATGGCCAAGTTGCATTGTAAATCAAAACTTTGATAATATATATTACAAAACGCAACAAATGTTTTATGGCTCGAATTTACTATAAAACTCTTTTCTTGTAGGAAAAATGATCTGTCATTTTTTAAAATTTAAATTCTTGAAACGATCTAAAAATAAAAATATATAGATAGTGAGATTCAAAAAATTCGAAACTCGAAATACACTTGAAATACTCTTTCGAAATCGAAATCGATTCAAAAGTAAAATTGAAATTGATTTATAAATAAATAAATAAATACCTTCATAGCTTCCAAATATAATAATTCTTCCACGACTCGAATTTTATTTAACAGGTTTGGAACGTTATATTGAAACAACAACATTTGTTTTGTCAAATATTTCCTAGTCTTTGTTGCTTTATTCGAAAGTATCTCATTAAAGGTAGAGAGAAACAAAGTGCACTATTTTTTAAAAGGTAGACTTCTATTTCAAATTTCTATATATTTTAATTTCGATTTCGATTTCATATTTAATCGAAATGTTGGAATCCTGGTTTTCTAAATCGAAATCGAACGAACATAATCAATCATGTATTGATATGTTTTCTATGCAGATATCGCAGAACTAAAAGTATCGGTGGAATAGATATACTAACCGAATTTGGAAATTATCAGTAAAAATTTATGTGTATGACGCAGTCAAATTTTACATCTGCATACTAAAAACGTACATTTTACAGAAGAATTGCCAGAAAACAGCGTCATTGCTCTGAAGATTTTCCGTTAATTCATGTGACGCTCTTTCACCTTGTTGCATTACAAAAATCAAGTTTATTAATACAAAAACAATTGTTTGAAAAGAATGCAATATAGGCACTAAAAATAAATAATGACAATAATAACAATAATCTGTTGTGCAACTAAATGATTAATGCAAAACGCTAATAATAATAATAATATAACGAGAAAATTTTTTTAAAAAAAATCGGAAAATTTTTAATTTTAATCTAATTGGTGATTTTTAATTATAAAATTTTTTTTTAATAAACTTATTAGGAAAGAAGAATTAACAATTATTGAAGAGAAAAATTTTTTTTGGATTAAAACAAAGAATTTTTTTTTTAATGGGGAGATTTCTTGTTTAGGCAAGTATAAAATGTATTTTTCATGTGTTACTTACTTATTTGTTATGTTATGTTATTATATCATTATATTATTATGATTTTTTGAATTTTTGATATTTATTACTATTACTATACCCACGACACCAAAGTGAAAACTTCGCGCCACAATACAATTTCGGTGGTACAAAGTAATAAATTTGTTAAAATGTATTGTGATATCAAATATCCACTCTTCAATAACTTCCATAGTATAAACTAAGTAATGATTCAAGAAAGAATACACCAGATAAGTGTTTAAATTTCTCTTCTACTTTCTTAAATGATACATATGATTATATTTATATGAAAATATAAATATGAATTAATGGAACCCAAGAGTGAAGTACTTTAAAAAAAAGAACAAGATAAAAGATTGCTCTTTATGTTTAAATCAATTGACACAATTGACACTCATTTACTTAGGAAAGAGGAAATTACCTATGAAATTGCCAAGAAGAAAGAAAAATGATAAAAGAAAGCAGAATGAAAGTGAACAGTTATCTAGTAAATCTTTGGAAAAAGTAAAATAATATGTGATGGAATCTTTGTTTTTTGCAATATAAATAATAATAACTATAGCACTAAAACATTAAATACTAAAGTTGTATCTACTAATCATAATCAAATCAACTTGTGTGTATTTGAGGTATTCTGCTGCTTGCTTTGGGCAAAATCTTCATCTTTGCGATTACTGACAGTAGTGGTAACATGGTAACATGGTAAACATGAAGAGGACCTGGACTTCTCAACACATTTATAACATAAATCCTTCTAGGAAGAAGATTTCCTTTGTTGCTTTAGGACTAGATTATTGAAATCAGGAAATTTGTTGTGAATAACTTCTCAATGGTAAGGAATAAATTTGTCATCAGCGATTCTTGCCAGTGCTGTTATTCTATTTTAGTTTGTGGAAACTGCCCGAAAATGTTTTTGATTTTAACAGTGTTAAATGTAGAGGCTTGTTTGTACATGGTGGGGGGATTTTATAAAGATTAAAACAAAACAGTCTTACTTCATCTTTAAATGATTTCTAACATCATTGCAACATTTTTTCTCTTTGCCCTAGTCCTCTAATAATACATACTTGTGATATTTAAAATTCTGACGTCCTGTATTTATTTAGACAAAATAAAATTAAACATTAACTGTGTATGAAATAATTCATATAAATTAATTTTATCTCAAAAATATTTCTTAGTAACTAACCTACTGGTCAGAGTATCCAATGCTCTTCTGCTTTCGGCCATTTTCTACTCTATGTTGTTCATTTACTTAATACTTTTTTAGATTCTAGAAAATTTTCAAAGATTTTTTTTTAAAAAAAAAACCCCCTTTTGTACCCCTTTTGTACGCGTAAAATAATTGATAAATGAGTCAAATTCAAGTTGTTTTCTTTGAAAATTGTCTTGGTTTTTACAACTTTTTTGAAGAAAAAGTTTAGAGGGGACAGAAGATTTGTTACAATGGCTTAAGAATAGCTTAAAGGTGCCATTAAAAATTTTTGGAACTCTAATTCCTGCAAAAAAATCATAAAGACTTCTTGGTCTTTAATGATCATATTTGTCTTTTTCCCTTTATCATTCCTTAAGGAAATGAATGCGGAAACAACAACATTTTTTTGAGAGTTTAAAATCGTTTAGTACCTTGAGATAATGCAAGAAGGATATGTGAAAAAATAGATAGAGAAATGTTTGATAGGAGCATGGTTATCAATTATGAGAGGGGATTTTTTTTTAAAAGAAACGAAAATTTGAAGTAGAAGAGAAAGAATTTATCGAAAAGTATTATGACATAAAAAATGAAATCTCTAAACGAAGTTCATAGCTCAATAGAAAATTCAGGATGAGGTAGGTTTCGAGTTTTATTAAAATTGCATCCAGGTTCTCTTCCATAATAAAGCAATTTTCGGGAACCTATCCCATGTTCAAGTTGCTAGGACTCGAATAGATGTAGAAAAGATGGTTCTATTGACACCAAACTTAATATACCATCTTGCCACAATTCAGAAATGAAACTTTATGATTTGCTCCTTTAAAAGTTTCTTTTATCCTTTCTTTTAAAATTTAAAAATACAAAATAAATATACGTCAAATGACAACAACACCTCATCAACTGTCTTTACTGTTTCATTGAATAATTGCATCTTGAAGGTGATAATGATAAGGAAAAGTGAGAAAAAAAAGTTAAGGAAATAGTCAAATGTATGATGACCTTTTTATCTCTCTCTAAGGAATTGTCCAAGCTTTAGGAGAAGATTTATTAAGGGAAATATCCTTTCACGGTAAATTTAAAACCTTTGGTCAATTTCCTCGTGTAAATATGAACCTTCCCCGAAGAAGAAAGTCTTTTCTGATAAGTTTTTTATTTTACCCAACTATTCTTGTGATAGGAAAGCTCGAGGGCAAATTGTTTGTAATGGTAAATCCATTACAGTTACTATTATATTTCAAAAATTTCTGCTTTTATCAAGTAATCTCTCGCTTTCATTCTGCTTTCTTTTCCTAGTGTTTATTCTTCTTGTTGACTTTGTCCAGAAATATCTTCTTGATAAACTTTATAAATAATTTTCTCTTGTCTTCCAAGCATCGGGGTATCATTTAAAAATACTTCTAATAGTGCTATTTTCATATAGGGGCAATCTTAAATATATCGCTCAGAAACCAGAAAAATATCTCTATTTACGAAAAACAATATCCGTCACCTTCATTGTTTTATCAACTAAAAGAAAAGGCAGAAAATCGAAAACTGTCTGCGATTAGGATTAATTATGAGAAATTTGTAGTATAGGAAGAATTTAGAAGCTATTGATTACTATTAGAAAGTTTCCGAGAAAAGCAGCAGTGGATTATGTGTTGATATTAGGACAAAGAATGTGACTTTGTCCTTTGGGAAAATAAATGGCCACTACAAGAATTTATCTCAGAATTGCATATGCATCTTGTCATTTAGAAAAGAAAACAGCGTCTACAATGAATAATAAATAATAAAAGAAACCAGATATCGCAATTACGTTATTCGATAGTATAATTGTGGCGTTGAGCAACTTCGTACTACTAAAATTGGATTATGGCTGAAGTTCATGTAGCCACATTTATATAATCTCATGAGAGAGCCAAATTAGTGGATCTCTGCCAATCTAGTGGTAACGGTATTTAGTATAAATGTCAAAAATGACATGTTAAATGATGACGGCGAGGGCTGAGTGCGTAACCATAATGAGGTACTTGACTAAACTAATATAAAATTATTAAACATTTGTTACTAAATTAGGGCTCACTCCTTATTCCAGCAGTCCTGATGACGGCAACGATGTTGATAATGATGAATATGATCTTCTGAGTAACAATAATCTATTTTTGAGGTAACATTTAACTCTTAAGGTACACATTGTTTTTTTGCATTGAAAGAGTTTCCATAATTAGAGATTGTTAATAACTGGATATTAATTAATAGATGAATAGATAGAGAGATATATATTTATATAAGAAATTTGTAGGAAAGGGATAATTAATTAGTTTAAAGTTCAAAGGAGATGGGCGTAGGTTTAGACTTGGGAATGGTCCTGACTGATAACTTGAACCAAAAAAAAATTATAGCCTTAAGAATATTATCAATTAAGGATTTTACCAATGATTATAATTTTATTTTTAAATTTTTCAGAAGCACAAGAATTTTTATTGATAAAATTCATGTGAATGCGTCCATTTTTAGAATTCTCGTGGCGTTATTTATTTGTTTGTTTATTATTTATTGTTAATTATTTGTGGAGTCAATTATTTAATTATTTATTTATTGATTTATCTATTACTATTGTTAATATTTATTAATCAACAGATAGACGTACACAGGGAGAAATATGAAAGATACGATTGTTAAAAGAGATTTGATAGAGAGAATTATTGAATGACGTGAGAAAACAACAAAAGATTGTTTTTCTTACTGTCACTTGATTTTTTTTTTTGTTTGTTTGTTTGGACCCTGTGCAAAAAAAAAAAATAATAATAAAACATGCATTGTGGTTTGGTTGAACATTTGTTTTTTGGAAAAAGACAAATATGGTTAATATGAATGTCGATGGTACCGTGTATATATTTATTTGTTATCAACTGGTTTAAACTTGTTTTTTTTTTTTTTTTTTTGAATATTTCTAAAATTTTATTTATTCAAAAATTCATAGCCAGTTAATTATTTTAAACTTTTTGTTTCTATTATTATTGTTTATGTTTTTGTTAGTTTTGTGTATAAAGACGCTAGGCGAATTAATTTTGGCTGCTTAAACTAGTTTTGCCCAGGATCTTTAGTTGAGCAGATTTTTTGAAAAAAATTATAATAATAAACTATTAAAAATTTTTTTACAGTTTTGGTTTTTTGAAAAAAAATTTTTTTATGTAATACATATACCGTATTATACATAATAGGAATATTTTTCACAACGTTTTTTTTAACAATGCTTTTTATACAATTGGACTATTGGATAATGAATTAAAAATTCTGCAAACGCAATAAAGCCACGCGATGAAAAATAAATTTTTCTCCGTTACAATATACCACCGTGATAACGCACACACACACATACAAGTTGAGCATTTATCATTACAAATTGAAAAAAAGCCAGTTTTTTACAAAGCCTTTGTTCCGAATTAAGTTAATTTATTTTAAAGTTAATGATTATGTTGTGTAAATTTACACAAAGACCACGTATACATACAT